AAGAAAAACGAACAACAAGTAATAATAATATATTTCGGCCGGGCCCCGTGCCTCTGCACGGGCCGTTGGCCTTCTACGACACGCGTGACGACTAGAACAATCGCTCCTGAATCTCAGGCTTACTCTCTAATATGGCAAATTATGGCACCAAGTTCCGGGGGAACGAGTGAAGAAGAAAGAGAAGAAGAAGAAGAAGAAGAAGAAGAAGAAGAAGAAGAAGAAGAAGAAGAAAAAACAAAAAAAAAAAAAAGAGGAGATGAGGGAAATTGGGCTTCGCCGATCGATGATCGATGATCCACGCGATTTCCTTCGACGCGACCCCACGATGCTCGATTTCACCCCCCCCTCCCCCTGGAACGTGGTTTTCTAGCGATATACATACACACACACACACACACACACATATATATATGTATATGTATATGCATATATTTTTTCCCTCTTCCTTCCTCCTCTTTCCTTCTAAATATTCTAACTTCGAATGATATATTTCGAGTTTGATCGTGTTCAAGAGAAAAAAAATAAAGAAAAAAAAAAAAAAAAAAAGAAAATCGAACGAATACGAATTTCGAGTTGGAAGAAAAAAAAAAAAACAACTTGGGAAGATTCGTTCGAGAGTGTTTTCGAGAGTGATGCGAGTCGAGACGTAGCGAGGTTATATACATATATATATATATATAACGTATATAACTGTAATATTCAACGGGCAAGGCTCGTCGCTCGTCTTCTCGTCGTTAAAAAATTATATCACAGTGACCGTGCATTCTACAAGGTATAACGGGACTATAAGATAATGACGCACGATATTCCCTTCTTTCTCTCTCCCTCTCCTTACCCCCCCCCCCTCTTCCCTCCGCTTCCTCTTCCCGCAACAGTTTTTCGAATGTATCGCGAACGCGGGCAGTTCATCACCGAATCGTTTCGTTCGCGAACGAATACGATTTTAATCCTCCTTATCATCGTGTTTCAGGCACACCGATTTCTTTTCTTTCCTTTCCTTTCCTTTTTTTTTTTTTTTACGGTAATAATAATCGAATTGATTAAAAAGCAAGATCGAAACGAGAGATATCGACGCGATCGAAGGTAAAAAAAAAAGAAAAAAAAAGAAAATTAGTCAACTCGATTGGAACAGAAGAAAATTGGAAAACGAAAAGAATAAATAAATAAATAAATCTATTCCCCGCCCTCCTCCCCCCCCCCTCAAAATTCTCCAGAAGCAGCCGGGCAAGGCAGCTGGGCCCGATTCGAGAAAAGGGAGAAAGATTCGCGCGAATAAGAATTCCCCGCTACGTCGACGTACGGCCCTTTCTCTCTCTCTCTCTCTCTCGTCTTGTTTCTTTCTCATTTTCCGTTTTCGTGTGCGAGGGGAGGGGTGGGATGGGGAGGGAGATGGTGCGTGTGCGGCGTAGGTTGCGAGGGAGGAGGGAGAGGGGAGAGGGGAGGTGACCGGGGGGGGCCCCGCGCGCCCCGCGATCCCACGACGCGTGGGGGAGGGGGACGACGACGAGTGGAAAACTGGGGAATATGGCTATGGCCGAAAACTGACGTTCCAGGTCAGCAGTCGAGCGTCTCGAGTGGTGATAATAATCGCCGCGTCGCGCGCGAAATCCGCGGCCCCTTTACGAGAAGGGGAGGTCTTCCTCGGGCGACTCGTCGTGGTACTCCTCGTGGTCGGACGTGTGTCACAAAACGTCGCTTGGTTGCCGTTGCCCGATACCTATCGTGGGCGATAGCTGCCCCTCCTCGACCGCGACGGTCTTCGGATCCTCGTCCTTCCACTTGTCCATGGAACGGCGTCGAGCGTTCATGAAGAAGTTGCCGACCGTGGTCGGCTCCAGGCCCAGCTGCCTAGCGATTGTCACCTGCATCTCTTTCGACGGCCTCTTCGTCTCCTGGAAAAAATCGGTCGGAAGAACAACGTCGGTCAACAACAACAGTAATATGAGGGGGGAACGAAACGAATTTTTGGGATCCGATTCGAGAGAAGGCGAAGGAAATTGCGTACAATCTAAAACTTTTTCTAAAACTTTCCTCGAAAATTGATCGAGTTGTAAATAATTATATTCGAATATTACTTTCATCGCACAGCTATCAGATATGATTAAACGAATTTATTTGATCCATTAACGAGTCTCATATATATATATATATATATGTAATAACGAATTTTTAGTTCATAGACACTGAATATTTTAAAAGGCGCGTTTTAAGGGGGCCGAGGAATTTCGAGCAACCTATTACCGAATTAGAATTTAAAGCACTTTGTTTGCAGAGCAGAGTTCCTGGATCGATGAATATTCATGCTAGCTTCTGAGATTTGCCGAGGGTTTAAGGTAGCCTTTCCTGGTCTCCAGAGTTCCCTCTCTCTCCCCGCGCCTTCTCTGACGAAACTATAATAAACCTCGCCGCCACTCCATAACCGCCCACATAACCGTCCCATCCGATCCTTTAAGTTGTATTAACATGAAAAGGATCCTCGACTCTTTCTTCGAAAAAAAGAGAAAGAAAAAGAAAAAAAATTGAATCCGATAAATAAATATCAATGGGGGGAAAGAAGAGAAAAGGAAAACTCGAGCGTAAATTACGCCCTCTTCGCCTTTCGAAGAAACGCATCGAACGGAAACCTTTGTGCGCCTACTACTTCCCTCTTCCCTTTGACTTCTTCCTCCGCTAAATAAATATTCATCCTCCCAACTCAACCTACAATTCTTCTATTCCTATCCGTCCTTGTTGCATCGAGTTGTATCTCAACTTACTTTCTCATATACGTTTCGGTATTTTCACCTATCGATTGCTCAATTAATCCCCTGAACGCGTCTCTCATGTTCATAATTAATAACAACAGTGGAATAACAATTTTTCTTGAATCGAAGGAATTCGGAAAATTTCGTTTTCTTCTCACGCGATCGTGAACACTCGAATTCGATAAATTCAATCTCGTAGCGATTTCTCGAGTCGTTGCTCGTCCATTGGAACGAAATTGTCGGAACGAAATTATGAAAATTTCGTTTTAACACTACTAGGCGTATCGTTACTCACACCTTCTCCATATATACTTTGCCTAACTTTTTTCTCACCTGAACAGCATTCTTACCTTTTCGATAACAAAAAAAAGGTAAAATACGCCAAAAATACTCCTTCTGATCTTGCATCTTGTGTTATCACGCACGAGAAGCACAATCGCGCACAGAATCGAAGGAATTTTTCTCATAAACGAACCATGTAACACCAGCTCTCGAAATATATAATAACACGGTTTAGAATGAAGTTGGCTGGATAAAACGTTCGACTAGCGACACTAGTGTGAAAAAACGAAATTACTTTCCGTAACACAATATACATATTATATATAATATATATATATATATATATATATGGAAGAAAAGATCCAAAAGAGTACCAAGTTGTACACATCCTTCTGAGTACGAGAAAAGGAGAAAAAGTTTTTTCGGCATCCAGCTTTGTCCTACCACCTTTTGCACGAGGCAAGGAAGTACGAGGAGGTGAAGGAGGAGAAGAAAACTGCGGTTTCGTACGAACGTAGCAACGTGTGTAAACATTTGTTGTGCATGTGGTAAACGATGGCCTGGCACGCTTTCTTCCCACGCGACGTTTCTTACTCGACGTAGGTCGATCAATAACACGGACGGAGCAGCTATATAGAGAGCGAGAGAGCGAGAGCAGAGAGAGAGAGAGAGAGGAGGGAGAAGGTATCGATTGCTCGAAGGAACAATTATTACAAACCGTGATGCGCGTGCACCACGAACGCGTTAATTAACGCATTTAACGCGGGAAACGGGCACCGGTTTTAAAATAATTTCCATCTTCTATTCCCGCGGATCAAACGGATCGAAACGAATAATCTCGAATTTGAAGAACAGAGGTGAATAAATTCGACGAGGAAGAACGTCTTAGAAATTAGAGAACGTTAACCAGAGTATTGAAATCCTTTCCTTTTGATTTCCTTTTTCCTTTCTTTTTTTTTCATAAGCCTCTGTCTATTGGCTTCTGGCTAACCGAGAAAGAGAGAGAGAGAGAGAGATTTACATTCGAAATTTTTTGTTATAACCGAAGATCTGCGGCGGAATTACTTGCACACACAACTCGGTAGACGTTTAAGGAACTGTATCGATATCCTGTCCCGGCTTGTAATTCACCGCGTATAAACGCAACGAAACGAAGGTCTCTACGTCTACGTCTACGTCTACCGGGGAGGCGTATCAATTGTTGGAAATACGGGACACTATCGGCGCGAGGATCGTGATTATTCCTTGACAGCCAGTGTGCAAGCCTGAGGTGTGCAAGGAGAGGGGGTTGCATACGTGTCACGTAGGATAGGCGAAGGGATCTCGAAAAACGACCGAAATTATTTTCTCTCCCTTCTTTCAACCGAATTCGATATTTAAATACTCGAATTATTTTTCGAAGCTTCCCGTCTGGAAAGGAAGGAATACAATTATTCCTCGTTGAATGATGTTTGTGTAACTTTTCTCGATGAAAAAAAAAAAGACACGCTTTTTATTTCTTTCGATTATTCAGGGAGCAGGGGGGGGGGGGAGGCCGAGCGTTTCGAAAAGCGTTTCGAGAGAATCGTGTCGGCCACGCGTGGCTGAACGAGGGAGGGAGAGTCGTAAAAGTCGTATAATCGGGAGGGGGGGAGGAGGGGGGAGGGGAAAATAGAATCGGAGAAAGATTCGTTGCAGAAGCATCGTTTAACTGGGCTAAGGTCAATTCGCCAACTATTTGGCATAGTTCCAAAGAGTGGGGGAACAACCGCTTTTCCCTTTTCCACACTCGTTCCAACCCCTCGAAATTAACCCCCTCTCAAGAATTCGAAGACTCTCTGAAAAAAAATTAGATTAAAAAATTTTTCAGAAGGAACATCTCCCTATCCCTGCTCTCGTATATACGACGATCTTCTCGATCTTCAAAATTATTAAGCACACGTTGGGGAGGGAGAAAGAGGGATATAAAGAGATTTAAATATTTAAATCGGACGGAGCTGGTTGAACGATCGGGTCTCATTTACTAATTTACCAATCCTCCATCCGGATATCGAATAAAACGATAGATTAGAATTATATTAATGTAGAAACGGGGAGGGGAGGGGAGGGGGGGGGCTTGATCAAATCCTAATCAAGCCTAATGTAAAGCTCGTTTGATTAAAATCCAAACTTAATCCGGGCCGCTTAATTTCGATTTCACCGTTTCATCCCGTTTCGGCCGAAATTTCCAAAAGGAAAAAAAAAAAAAAAAAAAGAAAAGAATCTAGCTTTCTCTCCATATTCGTTTCTCAACGAACGATTGCAAACTCGAAACTTGTTACCAGGCGTGTACCTTTCGAGGATTGTAGAATGTTACACTGTCGAACGGAGTCGAATGGCCGCGATATCGACGGTTTCGAGTGAGCAGCCGCGAATTCCGCGCCGTCATCATCGCCGACTTCTCCTTTCCTCTTCGAGCAGACGCGACCGCTCGGATATAAAATATAAAAGTGTCGACAATTATTATTATTATTATTATTATTATTGAGAGAATGAAAGCTCGAAGTCTTTTCTCCTTTTTTATAAAAAAGGATAAATAAAAATATTTCGAAATATTTCGATCGAACGAGTTTCGGGATGGACGGATCGCTGTGATCGAGCGCGGCCAAGGAATCGGCCGCGAAATTATTCAACGGGGATCGATCGAGGCTCGTTTCACGCGCGACACGGCTGAAAACCCTCGTCGCGCTGTCCCTCCGCGTGCACGCGAGAAATCAGCCTCCTTTTATTAATGCACGCGCCTCGAGTTCGAAGAGAGAGAGAGAGAGAGAGAGAGAGAGAGAGAGAGAGAGAGAAAGGGAATCGAGTTTATTCACAAGGAGGACGCGGTGTTCGCGATCTTAATTGATATCGAATATATTTCAAAGAGCGAACGAGAATGTTCCAGATAGAAATTCCAAACTATTTTTTAATATAGGATCTACTTTCGAAGAAATGATTTCGATCTTAATTGATTAATATTTTCGAAATGTTTCTATTTTCCAAGGGGGGGAGGAAAAAAATTCTTGGAAATTCTTCTCTGGAAATCGGATAATTCGAGCAGAGTGTGTTAAATTTTCGAAGAAGGTAATAAAATATCGATCGATCCCTACCTGACCGATTGAAAGGAGATACGGCGCGTAGGAATGATCTCGTATTTTTAAACGGACTATTATACGGAGTCGGGTGAGGCAAACTGTGAATTGTTACCGTTCAACAACGGACGCACGCGTTTTGTTGAAACGCGTGAGAATAAAGTTTGTTATACGCGTTATAACTCTTCACGAGCGACGCACTTACTCCACAGAATCGAAACATTTATTTCATTTCTTTCTTTCTTTCTTTCTCTCTTTTTTTATCTTCCTCTTTTTTCGCTCTTTCAGCGAGGAAGAAAAAAAAGTATCGTCGGTTGAACCGAACCCATAATACCGAGGGCATCGCCTCTCTCTCTCTCTCTCTCTCTCTCTTTCTCTCTCTCGATTGTTTTCGCCTAACGCATACGTGAGTCGACCGGTTATGCGGATAACTTACACTGAACGCATATATGGGTTCATCGTTTGCAAAGGGTTAATCGTAAACTAAAATACTCCGCGATCGTGTCACGGTCTCATTCACATTCCGCCCTATTCCGTTATTATAATACTTGACTTGGTAGAATCGACCAAACTCGATCTCTTTTCGATAACGAGATTAAGAAAATTTCATCGAAAATTTTTTCCATTCATTCCATGTATAATTTTTTCGGGATTTCAACTTATAGTATCAACTCATAATATCGAAACGATCGAGGAATCGAAGGGCCGTTTCGACGCGGCCTCGTTCAAGATGAAGCCACTCGACTACTCCCCTTTATCACTGCGCGACCCGATGGAATGCGGCAACACGGTGTCTATCGAGCTAATTTACCGACCGTTCCGTTTAAACGAGAATTCGTTGAGAGAGCGTGCCGTACGAAAGAAATTCTCGTCCTTCTCTAGGTGCGTCTTGCGACACACGATCTTTCAAATTTATTTGGAAATTTATTTGGAGAGATGTCTGGAACGAACAACTCCCTGAAAACATCGATAAAGTGAGTAAAACGGGATCCATTCTCGGACTGGGGAGGGGAGAGAAAGTTGCCGCTAAAAATATTAAATTCAATACAATAAGAAGAAAAACTACTTGCCACTGTTGTGTAGAAAAGATGCGGATTTCTTTAAAATTTCTGGAAAATCGAAAATATACGAACAACAGTTTTCATCGACCAAACCTTCGATCTGTTGCATATTATTTAGAGAGTAATATAAAATTCGTGAAAAAAAGATGAACGCGATGTTCGAGTATCGTTTCGCCCGGGACAATAGAGACACGTAGAGTAGAACGAGGCGGCGGCGACGGTGGCGGCGGCGGTGGCGGTATCGATCAAAACGCAAGTTAAGTTATACAAGACTTACTTTAAAAATAGCCTGTAGAGTACGACGCTGAAGGTCTGTGAAAACCAGGCGCGGTTTCTTGGGGGCGGGCTGTTGGTGTTCTGCCTGGTTCGCCATCTCGTCTTTCCTCTTGCATGCTGCGAAATTCGTTAGATCTTATTATCCTTATTCTTTCGGTTAAAATTTTCATAAGTTAATTCAAATTAGAAAGAGAGAGAAAAAAAAGGAAATAATTTTATGAATATAAAGATAATGTACACACACACGTATATATATATATATGTGTGTGTGTGTGTGTGTGTGTGAACATATACAAATAAATTGCAATAGGAAGGATAGAGGAAGGAAGATCGAGGCTTCTCGGGTTTCACGCTTGGCTCGAGCTAATTGGTAATTAGCGGGCGAAAAGGACGGCGCGGTGAAAAAAAGAGGAGGGGGAGTGCGTCCTTTTCCATAAGTAGCCATTTATGAAACGGTCCAAGATCTCCCCTTTCAAAGCTGACTACCAGTGTCGAAAAGGTGGGAAGGAGGGGGAGGGGGAAGAGGAGGTGAATCGAAGCGAGAAGAAACATGTTTTCTTTCTCTCCTTGTTTCCCAGTATTTGCAATACTGTATCACGTATACACGCGCGCCCTCTACGCCCTGCATAGGTGGCGCGCGTGTAATTGATCGGCCCAATTAAGACGAAATAAAACGAAAGGGAAACGGAAGGGGTTTTCAAACCGGGTAATTTGATCGTACTTACCTCCGCGTTGTGGAATCTGTGCAGCTGAAAGCAGAAAAAAGAAGACAAATGTGAATCAACGGCGAACTCGTTTAACTTACGGACGACCCGTTTTTCTTATTTCTTTTCTTTTCTTTTTTTCTCTCTCTTTTTTTTTTTTCTTTTTTCTTTACTTCGTCTGTTTACGGGTCGTCGTATAAATACATCTTGTTCTCGACTGTGTGCAATGCTGGTTTTCTTTTTTTTCTTTTCTTTTCTTTTCTCTGTTGTATATTCGTGTTTCTTTTGTATAATATTTTCTTTTTTTTTTTTTTTTTTTTTTTTTTTTTTTTCTTTACAATCGCTAGCTTGTTTCACTGTTTCACTTCGAGCATTAAAAAAAATTATTACTTGCTTTTTTTTTTTTTTGCAAAGTACATTTTCTCAGCCAAAACAAAAAAAATAAACAAATAACAATAATAATAATAATAGTAATAATAATCTCGACACTATATGCGATATTACATGGATATTACGTACTTGTAAAAATATAATACAGTATTACATTGAAAAAAGAAAAAAATGAGAGATAGATAGATAGATAGATAATAATATGTCAAAGGGTAATATATAATATATATATATATATGTATGTATGTATAAGAAGTAAAAACACGTACAACAAGTCAAGTGGAGAGAAAAAAAGTGGGGGGGGGCGGGGCGGGGCGGGCGGCGAGGGGGGGGGGCGGGTTAGGGGATTCGCTTGCATACCACGAATAAATCTGATATAATACTACAGCTCATAAACATCTCACTAAAAGGGCATGAGAAAAGGGCACAAAAAAAGGGGGGTGGGGGGGGAGGGGGGGGCGTACACGTACGTATATATATATATATATGTATATGTATGTATATATATATATATATATAATAAAATCTGTGTATACATGTGAGACGATGCAAGAGTGTTGCAAGAGAGATGAGATTTTGCTTGGAGTTCTTTTTTCATTTTATCTTTCCTTTCTCACTTTCTTCAAGATGTCGGTGTCAGTTAGTCAGTTGATTTTTCGTTTTTCTTCGTGTTTTTTCCCTTTCGAGTGAGTGGGTACTATCATTGCCCTGTTTCGAATCTGAGTGGTATTATTACGTGTCTCGTCGAAGAGCACGCGTTTCTTCGTTCCACAAGCGTCGAATCGCGTCGAAAAGTTTCGAAAATTATGGAGATTTCGAATTTCCCCATCCCAGAATTAATTTGACCTCAGACAGAATTCCTGTTTCATACAATTTCAGCTTCGATCTTCACGTTTCGAGAATACGAAATTTTCGATCTTTGTGTTCGAAAATTTTGAAACGAATTCCTCCCTTCGGGGGAGGAGGGGGCCACGATTTTTATTTTCGAACGATAAAACTTAATTGCGGGCGAGAAGAGAAGAGAAGAGAAGAGAAGAGAAGAGAAGCGACGTTTACGAAATCCCGCTCGATATTAGATTAAATAACTCGTCAATTTCTCCCTTTGTCCAGCCCCGAAAACTACTTCGAAATCGTTGGAATTTTTCCCGATAATGGAAGGAGGGGGGGGGGAGGGAGACCCACCACCCTTTCGTCGAAATCG